CTTTATACCATCTGGCTTTTTCAACCCTCACTCACTCGCCACTGAGGAAGGACTAGTGTTGTCCGAAAGCTCTGGTTCTATTTCTGGCTGTTTACTTACGTTTACTTTTTAGCTGTTGCTTATCATTTTTGTATCTTGTTTTGGCACTGCGGCAGTGCCGATAGAAAATCGGAGCTTTTTTCGCACTGCGGCAATAATGCCAATACAAAATAACAGCTTTTTTCGCATTGTGGCAGTGCCGATAGAAAACAGCAGCTTTTTTGGCACTGCGACAGTGCCGATAGAAAACAGCAGCTTTTTGGCACTGCGGCAGTGCCGATAGAAAACAGCAGCTTTTTTTCGCACTGCGGCAGTGCCGATAGCCTCAGCCCTCCTTACATAATTAGCCATTATTTCAACAACTAAAATAACAACAATGCAGATAAGGGACAGCTTTGGCGTCTGCCGTTATACATTTCAAAACTTTCTGGTATCCGCCCATTGTTAATTATAACACATTCAGTAAAGTTATAAATTGTTTTAATCCATCTACAGAACGATTTACCCAAATTGAATGATTTGATTGTTTCGAACATAAAATCTCTTTTAACGGTATCAAAAGCTGTTCGAAAATCTAATGAGAGCATGATGCCTTCAATATTTTCATTATCTGTGTTTTCAAGTATGTTATTTTGCAAAACGAATATTTTACCTGAAAATCTTCCTTTCAACCCTTTTGATCATTATCAATTATTCAGTTGTTTATCCTTATCTTTATATAGTAAATTAACAACCCCATGTTTTTGTGAATTACTCAAAAGTAATGTTAATGCGTAACATAAAATGGTACCAATATCATGCCAAAAAACTCTAATAAATTCAATACTTAAACCATCATATCCTGGTGATTTGTTAGATTTCATCGTTTTTATAGCATTTTTACATTCATTAAAGTTATTGGAACTTCATACATTCTACTAATCATTTATATGTTCAATTATATGTTAAATTGGCGAGGATGTAGTATTTCTTTGAATTCTGCTATTGAATATTTGTTAAAAATCAATAATTACATTACCTTAGCCCCGTCCCTTTAATTTGTTACGTGCGCGAACGAAGATTGAGCGTGACGTCAGACTTGTCCCACGGTGTACTGTACCGCTCACGCACGCTGTGAAGTTTTTGTAACCTTTTTTTTCGGCGCGACGAGCGAAACTGGTAAATCATTCGCTCAATTTTCGTTCAGTGTCAACAATGGCTTCTATAACGCCGTATAAGTTCGAACCGTACTGTACTGATGATGATGGCAGCGGCAATGAAGAAGAGGCGGGAGGAGAGAACAAGAACAAAGATCAATCAACAACAACAAAGATCAATCAAGAAGAACTAATACCGATTGGTAAGTAAAACATAGCTATTTATTGGCTACAAACAGTGTTTTATTACAGGCCTAGGCTAGGCCCCTATCTGCCCCTCTAGTCTACTAGGCCTTATACCTACTTATTACATACGTATTATTTATCTGGGCATTCTAGGCTAGGATGTCTGATAATTATGATACAGTACTTCTATAGGGCCACCCTATCCTAAATATTACGAGACATCGTAGGCCTAGATAACGGTGCCAATCGGCGATTTTTAGTTTAAATAAATGTGATAATTATTAACACAGAGATACATAATTATTTAGGCCCCTAAATTATATATTATTATCTAGGCCTAGACTCCGAAGCAGGGTCCAGGTCTATATAGTATTTGTTGTACTACCTGGCATCGTCATGTAGCCTATACATTACTGTATTCGTTAATAATTTTAATGTTACGTTGCCAAAAATATTCCTAGATACAATATTTTAAAGACTCCATTACATTGTCATTACATGTTTACAGTACTTACTGTACGAACATTTCGAACTCCAAAAGTCTGCTCCCGAGGAGTAAATTATTAATAATATTTTTAAACTATAGACTATAGTAATAAAATAATAACATATTATTTATTGTAAATTTAAGGTGTTCCTGTGAGAAATGTAGTGTAATGCCAACAACTGAGGAGTGTTTATGCTGTATGGAAATTTTGAAAATTAAAGATAAATTAGTTGAAGATGCCCCAGCTATTGTTGATGGAAATATGAAATGCATTACACAGCATCCTGGATTTAGATCTATCTGCCTTGACATATGGGCATTACAACTGGCCTATGACGAAATTCCAAAGAAAGACAAGAGAGAAGGGGCCACACATGAGTAAGCTATTTATTTATTTATTAAATACTGTAAAAACGAAATATACAAACTAAAAAGCATTAATAAAAGGAATGCATGTTTAAAGTTTAAGTTTAAAATATTTTTTATTTACAGAAAATATCGACATACAAGTTACAGAAATTTTGTAAAATGGATATGGGGATACAGAGGAAAACATCAGCGTACTGTAATACATGCATGTGCCATTATCAAAATTCGCAGCAAATTTCAATCAAAAAAATATGTTGGATTCAAGTATCCACCTTTATAATTTCTGTCTCATCAATGCCAGTTTTAATGCACATTTTTGTCCAGGCAAATATATTTACATTCAGGATACACTGTAATACATTTTAAATTTCCATCAAAGCTTTTAAAAATTCCCATGGAGCATAAGCACTCTTTATATGATGTAGTTATGCTACATTTCTTGCAAAATACTACTAGGTTGTGTCATTACATACTGACTTATTGTCAATGTAACATTGTCAATGTAACTATATTGGAAGTACATGTGTACAATAAAAAAATAAACTACATTATTTAAACTTTATATTTGTTTGCTGGTTTTATACTTCTGTTGTAAATGTGTACATAATATTGAAATGATGAAGAGAAAACAACATTTATACTAGTGAAAAAAAGGGCTGCAGAACAAATATCATGAGAACACATAATTTGCAACATGCTACACCATCTCAAACAAAACGTGAGCAATGAAGTGCTACAGCCTCTTGCTTGTTTGGGTGTTCAAAATGGGAGCATAAAGCAGATGGAGGTGCTTCTAAATGGTGTACCTGTCCTTCAGCGCATGTTTCCATTACTTGTGCTATTACTGCATCTGAATACTCTGCATACGTAAAATAGTTTAAAAAAAGCACTTAATCAAATAATACATGGATCAATTTTTATAGTACTGTTATATCAGCACCTTTGATCATTCAATTTGGGATTGGCACTATATAAATATTTAAGTAATATAACTTAACATTAACATTTATATAGCATATATATCTACAAGAATATTATTATTATTATTATTATTATTATTATTATTATTATTATTATTATTATTATTGCTGTGTTATCCAAAATAAAAAATATATATATATAAATATATGGGTAATTATAACTTACTGAATGTTTGTTCAACATAAACAGGCTTCACAACAAAGCCCCCCTTTTTGAATTTAGGGAATGCTACCCCAAAACATTTCTCTCCATCATTCGTTGTTCGGGATCGTTTATTTTGTCATCTGCATCAAATCCCTCATCGCTATCATCATCAATAGAAATGTCTGTCACATCAACTTCACTTCTTAATGCACTTTCAGTAGTTTGTGTTTGTGCTTCAGCTACATTAGGTAATATTTGCATACCTACGAAGATATAGATTAAAGAGAATATTATTGCATTAATTCATATGTTATTAATACAGTATTTATCAGAAAATTCAATTATATATGACCTTTATCAATCATTTTGTTTCCACTCCATTGAAAACCAGAGCTCTTCAGTTGGTGATGTACACAACAATTACAGTGCATTTCCATTGTCTAAAATGTTGAGAAGAAATATATTACTACATATTGTTTGTTTATGAAAGAAACTGTTAGGTGTTTTGCACATGTTCAGCTATTTCTTTGTCTGTTTTCGTTTCATATTAAATGTAGTTACAATAAATGTGAAAACAACTGGAACACCTAAGAATATGAAATAAGATTTTTTTTTTTAAATGGTTAAGTTTCATTAAATTAATTTTTTATAGAACCAGATGAATATATTTTAATGTACACTGATTTGTAAAAAAAACAAAAAAGAAAACAACAAAAAAACTGTGATAAAAACAAATATGGGGAAAATATTATATTGAATATCTAACCTGAGTTTCCATTTCCATTTTATTAAAACTCTGAGGAACAGGATCTTTGTTTTCTTTTTCAACACTTTCATCCAGTGTATTGGCCATAATTTCTTGGATTACCCATGGTAGTGGTAAAATAATCAGAGAAATTACATGTTTATCGATATGCTTTATAAAAATATAACACTAAATTAAGGCACCATGCATAAAAGTTCAGCAATTCTCTGTGATATTAGGTCTACTCAGATTGAAAATACTGTACATAGTTTCTTGCAATGCAGGCTAGGTCACTTCAACGCGATCGCACCGACTACGCGCGCAGACGATAATGTTATAATAATTATAAAGTCGATGGTAACCATTGATGTTTAATAATATAAACAAACGTTATATTTATGACGATGCAGTACAAAACATTACGATCATTAAATTACTACAGAACTAACGCCGGTAAAATGAACTCGCCCTTCGGTTACGACATAGGCCTACGGCCTAGGCCTGATAGGAAATATACTAGGCCTCTAGCTAGATTAGGCACACATTAATTGTGCCACGGATTATGATGCCTCAGGTCTAGGCCTAGGCTAGCTAATAATATTCATTCACGAATTACACAGAGCACTGAAATGTATACAATGTTGACGGCACAAGTTATAAAGCAAAATGAAACAGGTTTAATAATAATAAGCTGGATTTTCCTACCAAACCTCGAACCAAATATCGTTATGCCTGGCCTAACCTCCTGCTATTTTTGTATTTTATTCTACTTACCCTGTTTCGTTCCCGTTTTTCGTAAGCTGTGGACTTTCTTTTCTTGGCTGGTGGCCTTTCTCCTAGCGACCCTTATTTAGGTTTTTCAAAAACCGTGGGAATTGCACCCTTAACTAGGCGTTTTTTTAATTTTCCCCACGACTCCCAAGTAGTTGCCTATGCTGGACTTCATTTCAAAGCATTCTGCCTCAAAATGCCGTCTGCACAGCATCGAATGCTTGGTGGGCTGCCAGTCGGCCCTTGAAATACCGACAGCCTGTATCCATTTCTTCCTCTGGGTTGTTTCAGTAGGGAACGGGTGAAAACTAACCCCATCTAAGTGGGTCGTTTTGCACCCAATTGCAACACAACGCATAACAACACCACTAAGGGTATGTTCAGACTCACGGAATAAGAGTAGCGTTATGTAAGCGGCATACAAATTTTCGTGTCTGAACTAGACCGCGGAATAGTGTAAGCCAGCTGTTACGCCACGGACCTGGCGTTGTTAAAGCT